ATGAAGAAAATTAATCACCAGGCTAGAATTCCTTACCCAACAAAACTATCTCTAAAAAATGAATACAAGATAGAGGTTTTTTTTAAAATGGAGAATGTTTGTTGACGTAGAATTGTTCTAAAATATCGGTGATGCCAAAAATATGTTTTTAAGAGAATCTATCAATGTATTACTTTTAGTTTGCTGTAATCAGAAGTGTCTGGATGCTGATGGTAACCACTCTGAGCACCTTTTGTAATTGCAGAAGTCAAACATGACTTGTATTCATCTTTTGTTATTGGTATACATTAAGTATTATAATTTTAATACAGTTTTTTTCCTTTCTTAAAATGTGTATACTTTCTTGGTACCCTCTGGAAATATTTTAAAGGTATTATCTCGGCAGAAGGAAAACAAACTCATATGAAGAAAAAAATATATGCAGAAAGAAGGAAAGAACACTCAAGAGTAAATATATGGACAAATCTAGATATGCTGAGTGTTAAAAACCAATATTGTACTGGAGATTGTAAATCGCACCTAGGGTGAGTATATGTGAAGAGTTGGTTTAAACATAGGAGTAATACACATGAGCACAAAGTTAGGAGAGAAGGGTGTATAACTAGAAGATGTGAATACTGAATTCTCTCATTAAAAGAAGGCAAAAAAAAAAAACCAACATTCATGAAGCTGAACGCAGACTCTCCCAACAACGCTAGTTGGTGCACTGATGCCAATGGGTTCTAGAACACTCAACTAGTGGGGGAAGTAGTACTACAAGGTGCCTGCACTCCAAAAGATAATTCCGGGTTTTTTTTTTTAATTCCCCTTGTATTTTCTACCTGCCCCTTTACAGAGACCGTTTGCCAGCCCCTGCCCTACAAGATTCTATCTGAAGCAGAATGGTCAGAAAAGACTGCCAAAGAATTTAAAATAAGCAAGAGAAAATGCTTCCGAAGATAAGAAAAGATTTTAGTACTACAAAAGAAGACAAAAAGGCATGAAAAAGAACCGCATGTGAATATTAGATATAAAAAGCACATCAGTTGAAATATAGACTACAAATGATAGACATCACAGAACAATGAACAGGAGGGCAGGGTAGGTAATAGGAACGAGTCAGGGTGGTGGATGGCTTGACTAGGGAATGCGTTCAGGAGGAAAAGGATGGAGGGAAGGGAGTGAGGGACAAGTCAGGGTGGTGGATGGCCTGACCAAGGAACGCGTTCAGAGCGAAAAGAATTGCGGAGGGCGGGGTGAGGTGGATGGAAGATAGAGTGGAGGGTAAACATCTACGGGAGCATAAATAGAGAAAAAATATGATAGGACTCGCTAAAATGTAAAGCCGACTTCATCCAAGACTGACACATTAGACACAGAGATTCTAGGGTTTCACAGTAAGGAAAAGAGATTGGGTTCAACTCTGAACACTACAAGAAAAGTGGGAATTGATAACCAAGAAGCAGGCTGGAGGTTGGGAATGGAAGGTTACTAAAAGGAAACATCAGGGTTAAGGGGGGGATCCAGCTAAATGAACCTGATAGGATGCTTGCTGAAGGCAGGCCTAGGGTGAGCAGACCTTACCTGGTATGGTGGGGAGTGAGGAATTTGATCAGATATCAAGGGTATAGTATTCTGGCTACACTGACATAGCAGGATTCTTGCTGAAATTGGACAATGAAGAGATGACCATGAAAGCCCAAGAGTCAGGGTCTAGTTGGGAAGAGAATTCAGAGGTGCTTCCCTGAAATATGGCCAAGAAGAACCTTTGTCAACACATAGGGACACCCATATTGAATGTCTCCATGCTTGAACATAGGGCATGAAGCTGTAAATCTTCTAGAAGAAAACAAAGGAGAACAGCTGAATGACATTGATCATGGCAATGAACTTCTAGATAAGATACCAGATGCTCACAGGTAGCAACAGCAAAAAATAAGTGGGACTACATCAAACAAAAAAGGGAGACATTATGAAAAGGACAACTATAGGACGGAAGAACATATTTATAAACCATGTACCCAATAAGGGGATAATATCCAAAATATGTAAGGAACTCATACAACTCAATAGCAAAATATTGAATAACTTGACTAAATCATGAACAAAAGCCTGGACGCGGTGGCTCATGCCTGCAATCCCAGCACTTTGGGAGGCAGAGACAAGCGGATTGCCTGAGTCCAGGGGTTCAAGACCAATGTGGGCAACTTGGCAAGACCTTGTCTCTACAATAAGTCAAAGAATTAGCCGGGTGTGGTGGCACACGCCTGTTCCAGTTGCTTGGAAGGCTGAGGTAGAAGGATTGCCTGAGCCCAGCAGGTCGAGGCTGTGGTGGACGTGAGAGTGCCACTGTACTCTAGCCTGGGAGCAAAGGGAGCCTCTGATACAAAAAAAAAGAACCAAAAACCCCCAAACCAGCACAGACTTGTCTTTTCTAAAGAAGAAATGCAAATGGCCAAGAGGTACATGAAAAGCTGTTCAACATCACTAATCATCATGGAACTGCAAACCAAACCCAGAACGAATTATCTTCCACACCTGTCAAGGTGTCTGTTATCAAAAAACTGAAAGATAAGAAATGTTGGCAAGATTATAGAGGAAAGGGAACCCTGTACGCTGTTGGTGGAAATGTAATTTGGTACAACCGTTATAGAAAACAGAGCAGAGATCATTGAAATAATTAGAACCAGAACTATCAGCTGACTCAGCAGTTCCACTTCTGGGTATATATCCAAAAGAAATAAAATCGTTATGTCAAATCATTATGTCTGCACTCCCATGATCACAGAAGCACCATTCACAGCAGCCAAGATATGGAATCAACCTAAGTGTCCATTGACAGATGAATTATTATTCAACCTTAAAACAAGAAAGAAGTCTTGCCATCTGTAACGACGCGAGTAAAACTTGAGGACTTTATACTCAGTGACTTTATATTCAGAAAGACAAATACATCTGGGTCTCACTTTCACGTGGACTCTAGTAAGACACTGAACTCAGTGACAGAGTGTAGAATGGAGGTTTATCAAGGGTTTGCATTCCCTGGGAGCTAATTAGAAACACAGATGCTCAGGCCGTGCCCCAGACCCACTCAGTCAGCACCTGTGTTGTAACAAGACTCTCAGGTGGTTCATGGGCACATTCCTAATCAGGAAGCACAGACCCAGCACTCTGGTTCTCAAACTTGGTTTCAGGTTGGAACCCCTGAGGAACTTTAAAAACTGTGGGTTTCCTGAACCCTCTTTCGGAGATGAAGATTTTATCCGACAGGTAAGAGGTATGTCCTGGTGCTTTAACACTTCCCAAGTGCTTTTATTTTTTTAAACTATTATTATTTTTTAAATCAGAGTCTCATTCTGTCACCCATGCTGGAGTGCAGTGGCACAGTCATAGTTCGCTGCAGCCTCTGCCTGCTCAGGCAATCCTCCCTCTTTAGCTTCCAGAGTAGCTGGGACTACAGGCACACACCAACAAGCCCAGTTAATTTTTTGGATTTTTTTAGAGACAAGGTCTTGCCATGTTGCCCAGGCTAGACTTGAACTTCTGGGCTCACACAATACTCCTGTCTAGTCTCCTATAGCGCTGAGATTACAGACATAAGCCACTGCACCTGGCCTCAAGTGCTTTTAATATGCAGCAAAATTTCTAAATCTGGAGCACATAATTAGTAGGTGACTAGCAATTTGGCAATAAATAATCAATTTAAATTTGTGTAAGGCTTTTGTATCAATTTTCCATTCAGCCCTTTATGAAGCAGAAATACTTGTGTAATTTCACAGATAGTGGAAGAGTAGTCACTGTGGCAGGTTTTTAGCAATGGAAAATGAGAAACAACCAAACACCCCTCACTGCGGAAGTTTAAACATGTGGGGTGTGCTTACGTCTCAGTATTTTGTGAGCTGCCTGGTGGGTTTCACCAGTGTTTCTTGCATGACACCCCTCGTGGTCAAGAGCCCGCCAGTCTTTGTAGCCTGGGATGAATGCCCACCACTTTGCCACTCCAGGAACTTGTTGGAACAGAATAGCAGAAGCTCCCAGAGCTCTGCTCTGGCCCAGGCCTAGGCTGAGAGCCAGGGTGGTTGTATGACCCTTGCCTTGGCAGAACAGAGGAGGGACTCTCTTGGGCCCAAACCAAGGAGTCAGAAACCAGGCCTTAGGCTACTCCGGCCACAGGGTGGGCGGCACTTGCCTGCTGCCTGAGGCCCTCTGAGAGCTGCCTGGACCTGGAGACCAGAGAATGGCAGACCAGAGGCCATCACTGCAGCAGAGCACAGGTGCTGATTACATCACAAAGTGTGCCCACCCCCGGGCGTGGACTCAGAGAGGTCTTATCTCTGAGAGACCAAGCCAGGACCTCAGAGCCCCTTTCTGGGCACGAGATGAACAGCTGAAGATCCGGGTACCTTGGGTCAGGCAGAGAGTCAAGCAGAGATAACGAGGAAGAAGAGAGAATTGTGGGAGGAGCAGGCTGGGGTCGTAAGAGGGCCGGGCCAGGACACCTTGGGACAGCCACAGTCTTCACAGTCACATCTCACAGGACGGAGAGGCTACCTGGGGTGGTGACACGCCCAGGGGGAGGTGTGTACATGGTGGGTTCAAGTAGAGGGGAGGGCTCCCTAGACACAGACCACACCCAGGAGGGAGAGAGATGGTGACCAGGTCCCAGTAGAGGGGAAGTCTCCCTAGACATAGAGACCACACCCACCAGGAGGAGGGGAGAGGCTGGTGATTGGGTCCCAGTGAAGGGGCGGTCTCTCTAGGCACAGACCATACCCAGGAGGGGGAGGCTGGTGCGAGACTCATATGACGCCCTGGTAGGGTTCCTTGGAGGGGGGGGAGCCCTTAGAGGGACCTTAATGTCTGCCTTGGACCTAACTGGGCTGACTCTGAGAGAAACCAGTGTGGGGCTGTAGATCCTTGGACCCAGAACGACCCTCTCAGTCCCCTTCACACCGCCCACCCACAGCTCTTGCCTTGAGAGGACCAGGAGGGGACTGGCTGTGACCCTGGCCTGCGGGACCATGTTCAGGCCCCAGTGGCTCTCCCTGCTCCTCCTCACCATCCCTGTGACCCTGATGGCCAGCCCAGACCCTGAGGAGAATGAGGTGAAGGTGCTGAGGGAGTTAACGCCTGTGGACACTTCGAGCCCCAACGTGAAGCAGTGCCTGGGGTTCGCCATGGACGAGTACAATAAGGAAAGCCAGGACGAGTACATCTTCCAGGTGTTGGACATCCAGCAGGCCCAGCTGCAGGTGAGGGCACCTGTGGGGATGACACCATGCAGGACAGCACAGGGCAGGGCTCACTTGGGCCTGAAGGCGTGTGAGACATGGACACACAGGAGGCCCATATTGCCAGTGCCCAGGTACACATGGCACAGAGCCAGTGACACACAGCACAGTGGGAGCACACAGAGGGCACATTAGATATTGACCGCACGGGCTCAGGCTGTTTCCTGAGGACTCTGCCTACATGAACTCACTTAGACCTACCCCTGGGAGGTGAACAACAGATGTTCGTGTGTTTGCTCAGGCTGGAGACCCAGGGAGCAACACACCCATCTGAATAATGTCAGCACGGGCATTGTGGAAGCCCTTTCACACAGCATGACCATGGGCATCAGGAGAGATGCACAGGTCTTTGTTTTCCAACATCCAGCTCTCCTTTTTGGGAGTGGAGCCATACTGGTTCCTGCTTATAGAAGTGTACCCTTGCCGGGCTCGGTGGCTCAGCCTGTAATCCCGCGCCTTTGGGAGGCTGAGGTGAGTGAATTGCCTGAGCCCACTGGTTCGAGACCCACCTGGGCAGCGAGACCTCATCTCTACAATAAATCAAAAAATCAGCCGGACGTGGTAGTACATGCCTGTAATTCCGGCTACTTGGAAGGCTGAGACGGAAGGATCTCCGGAGCCCAGCAGGTCGAGGCTGCAGTGGCCGGGAGTGGCCACTGCACTCCAGTCTGGGTGTCAGAGTGAGACTCCAACTCAAAAAAAAAAAGAAGTGTACCCTCTTCCCAGCCCATGGGCTGCCCGATCCAGGAAGCCCTGCCCACATGGATGCCCATGGGCACGGCATACCCTAGAGTCTGCGACCCAGTGCCCGGTATCACCATAAGAGGCCCCTGTGTTGGAATTTAGCCGACTGTGATGGCTGTCATGGACAGCTGAGTGGTTGCGCGGCTTGTAACTACTCTGTGAGACAGGTAAGACTGAGTTATCAAGTTACTCCCAGATGGGGCATTGTTGGCGGGCTTATGTCTCCATCCCTTGGGAAAATGTGAGTTAAGAGAAAACTGAACTTTGCAGGGTCGAGGGATGGGCGTGGCCATTAGAGGCAAAAGCTGGAGTGCTGGTTTCACCCTCAGGAAGGTTGCTTGTAGAGGCATAGCTACACAGTCTTTTTGTGCCTCAGTTTCTCTAATTGAAAAAACCTGGGAGAGACCATCTTACCCAAGGCTTGGTGTAAGGATTAACTGAGTTGTGTGCAAAGGCCCGAGACCGGTCCTGACAGAGCCAGTGCTCGGCCAGGGTTAGCAAGTGTGGCTGCCATGCTCACAGGAAGTCCTCCTGTCAGTCATGTTCACCTCCGCAGCATGTTAGGGTTCCCCAAGCACACACCTAACCCCAGCCCAGTGAATCACTCTGCTGGTCACATCTTGATGTCATCTAACCAGCTTCACCCCAGGGCAAGCCAGGGTAGCCCTTGCTCAATCTTGGAGCACAGGTGAAAATAAACCCCAACTTCACTGGGATCTGGAGACAGCCCTGGAGAGAGGTCTCATAAGGAAAGGGGAGGCCAGGAGACCCTGGGCCGACCAGCAGATCCCCTCACCTCCCACAGATCCTTCAGAGCCCCGAGAGCGCAGGTATAAGTGGCCGTCCTGAGTGGCACTCGCCGCATCCAGTCACTGGAATCCAGTAAAGGCTGCGCTGATTCCATGCTGTGAACCTACTGTTCTAGACCCAAAAGACTCCACAGAGAACAAGACAGACTCGGCCTGCGTGGCCCCTTCAGGAGTGCTCTGAGTGTGAGGAGAGGCTTTGGAAATTTGAGGGGTGTCAGTAAAGGGACAGGGTAGGACTCAGCGTGCAGGGGGCATCCTCCTGCCGGGCCCACCTGAGCCTGAGCATCCTAGGCCCAGGGAAACTGATGATTCTGGAGACCCCACCCTTCTCCCCGAACCCTTCACGGAGCCTGTGAACACCCTGAACTTTGGGGATGAAAATGGAATTGAGGGTCTTGCCCTCGCTGGATAGGAGCCCTTTCCCTGAGGAGTCCGAGGCAGTGGCACCCAGCTTTGGAAGATGTGTCTGAGAGGGGAAGGGTGGCAAGGGGAGAGGATCAGGGTAAGGATGACTTTTGGGTTTGCTAACACGTTTTAAAAATAAAACTGTTTTGAATGGAAGTGCATTGCCACTCCACAGGTCACACACCACCTGGAGTACCTTATTGATGTTGACATTGCCCGCAGCAATTGCAAAAAGTCTTATAGCAATAACAAAAGGTGTACCATTCAGGAGGACTCCAAACTGCAAAAGGTGGGTTCAAGCCCCCCATCTGCAATGACCTCAGGGCAGCTCAAGCTCCAGCTGGAAGATGCTGGGGCCGTCGGACCTTCTCTGAGGTCGGGGTTGCTCCTAGCAGCCCCAGAATGACCAACCCTGTGGCCCTCAGAGCAGGGAACGCAGGGCACAGGGTATGGTGGAGCCTCAGAGCCTGTGCCTACCCCTCACCTAGGGGCAGAGTGCTGGGAAGGCCACTTTCATCCCAAAGGCTCCCTGACTCTGGCCTACAGCTGCAGGAGCACTGACCAACATGCACTCCCTGGAAGTTTGTCCTCCTGGGCCTGGCTCTGCCACCTGTTGCTGCTGGGCCCTCAGTGACTCACCCCTGGACAGGCATGAAAGGAGACTCACTCATCCACCCTGTTCACTCACTCATCCACACTGCAGACCTACTGAGTGCCAGGCACTGATTACTGCACGCCAGGTCTGTCCCAGGTGCTGGAGATTTTCAATGACTGGGCCAGATGGCGGCCCATGTGGTGGATTCTTCTGGGCTCAGCCAGGTTCCCTGGAAGGTCAGAGAAAGCCCAAGTCTCCATGAAAGGGCTGACTTGGCCCAGGGCTTTGGCCTCTAGCCTGTATTCATTGATCTCAGAATTGTAAGGAGTCTGGTCAGCTCCCCCCACAGTGCTCTGGCTGAGCCTGCTGAGGGCCCGGGCGTTCTGCAGGTTTGCCCACAGGGACATTGTGCCCTTTTCAACACTCTGGAGCTCTCTGGTGGGATCAGGTGTTGGAATCAACTGGGGGTGTCGCTCACCCAGTTGACTGGATCCCACCTACAGGGTTCCCGATTCAGTGGGTCAGGAAATGGGCCCAAGAATCAACCTTCTCAATGAGTTCCCGAGCATGCTGCTGCCGCCTTGGAATCCCATTTCTGCCACCCTAGGTATTGTCAGGCACCGGAAACTGCAATTGGAGGAGCTCAGTGCATCCAGGATGCCTAGAGACAATGACCGTGCTTGCTCAAACTACACAGGTTCTATGCCCTGCAGTCACCGGTAGCCCAGCGGGACACACATCTAAGCAGTGGCCACGTCCTAATGCCACCTGGGCTTTTGTGTTATTTTGTTTATCTTTTACTGGTATGAGAAGAATGATTGTTTGAAATTCATGTTTTCCCCTTGGCCTTTGGAATTCCAGGAAAGTTATCACTTTTGCTGGTTTGTGAAAGTGATAACTCAGATTTTGTGTCTCAGATTTCCAAGACCTATCTAGTTTTGTTTTGTTTTTTGAGTCTGGGTCTTGCTCTGTGGCCCAGACTGGAGTGCAGTAGTGGGATCATAGTTCACTGCAGCCTCAAACTCCTGGGCTCAAATGATTCTCCTGCCTTAACCTCCCAAAGTGCTGGGATTACAGGTATGAGCCACTGTGCCCGGCCCAATTTTCCAACCTTTGTGTAGGCTTTTTGCTTTCTATTTGTTAGGCAAGTTTGGGTTATAAATTTCTTTTCTCTTACATCTTGACTCTGGGATTTTGCTGGTCTGGTACATTGAGAAAGAGGGCTTTCCATGACTTCTCCATGTTCTGCATCAGTTTGAGGAACACAGGAGCTTCTGGTTCCCAAAAGTTCATGCAATTTGCCTCTAAAACCTTCTTGAGTGGTATTTTTTATTGCATGTGTCCAGTACTCAGCAGGGACTAAACTTCCTTCACTCCGACTCCATCTACCTCTTAACTCCTGGAAGTACCTCAGTGATTCTAGTTCATTTGAGATGCTCTTAGCCGTTTGTCCAGGACTACTGCTGTCTGTCGTATCTATCATCTCTCTCTCTCTCTCTCTCTCTCTCTCTCTTTCTCTCTCTCTCATCTATCTATCTGTCATCTATCTATTTATAGCTCTCTATCTTTCTATCATCTATTTATCTGTATCTATCTGCCATCTACGTATTATCACCTGTCAATCTCTGTCTTCTGTCTGTCTGTCTATCTACCAAGCATCTATCTACATATCATCCACCTACTTGTCTATCATCTACCCATCCACCCATTTATTCATTTATTGCACACATAGAATATTTCATTTGTCATTTCGGTGATATTTTGAAAGGGAGAGAAGAGCTCACTGAAACAAAAGATAAGTTAGTCCTTCGAACCTTCTAAATCGCCCTTATCCTGACTCATTATTAGAACAAAAGGGATTATTTCAACGTTAGAAGAGCATGCATTCATTTATATCTAATATAGAATTGCCTTATTTACATTGTGGAGAGTATTAGATAGAATTAAAAATAAAGTCCAGGTGCCATCTACCTCTGCCACGACGACCCCACCTGTGACCTTTCTGTCCACCTGAGGTCGGGGGACAGCAGGACTTGTTGGGTCTGCTGGTAGCTCCAGCTCTGCAGCTTCCTAGGAGTGTCCTGATGGGGCGACTCCTCTCCCAGTGTGTTCCTGTGTCTTTCCTCTTTCTTTGGGCACATGGCTGACCTTTGTCATCCTTTTCAGACAGCGACCTGCAGCTTTCTGGTGGGTGCACTTCCCTGGAACGGCAAGTTCACGATGATGGACAAGGAATGTGAGGATGCCTGAGGGTGGGCCTCCCTCCAGCTCTGGGTCTCTGTATCTGTGGAATAGAGCAGCACAGGTGGGGTCATCCTGATGCATCTTTCTCCACATGCCTCTGTAGGTTGTTGGTGTTTGGCGTCAGTGTGGGGACAGGAGATGGGTGTGTCCGGGTCCCTTTTCCTGACACCCAGGGCAGCCACTCAGCTTGGCCAGCTCAAGGGTCCCTGCCAGGGATAAGTTCCTCACCGAGTACAAGAAGATCAGCGGGGGAGCGCCTTCTGTTGGTGGTGATCCCTTACAGAGGGCAGCCCCAGCAGGTGCCAGCCCAGTAGGTACCTTCTGGATGTCTGCTTTGCCTGAGGCTCCTTCCTGTCTGAGACCCCCAAGGGAACAGGTCATGGGGTGGGGGACCCTATCCTGGAGCCAGCAGCTCTCCCTATGGTGTCTGTGAATTGAGGGGATTTGCGTTTCTTCTTGTATGAATGTCAACAATGGACACAGAGAGGAGGGGGGCACAGTAGATCTGAAGGGTACATGGCATTGTCTGTGTGTGCATGTGTCTGTGTGTGCATGTGTGCTTGTGTATACGCACCTGTGTGTGCCTGTGTGTGCATACCTGTTTGTGTGTGCATGCCTGTGTGTGCCAGTGTGTGCATATGCCTGTGTGTGCTTGCACGTGTGTCTGCATGCCTGTGTGTGCACATGCCTGTGTGTGTGTGCATGGGAGGAAGAGAGAGAAGAAAGGAAGGGGAGAGACACGGGAGCAGGAATCAAGTGCAGAAGAGATTATCTTGAAGAAAGAAACCGGTAAATGGATGTGTCTGCCGGGAGGTTCAGGTTTCTGTTCTGCAAAGTGAGCACTCTGCAGACCAGCTGCATGACAACGTGAACTGACAACACTACCGAACTGCACACCTCCAAATGACTAAGACTGAAAAGTAAGACACACACATGTCTATTTTAAACATAGCATGGGTGTGAGTCAGGCAGCTGGATTTCAAACATGCCTGAGCAGAGCCGGGTTTTACCTCCCACGTCCAGCAGGCTATGAAGACGTCGTGGCTTCTGCCCCAGACAGGATGAGGCCATGAAACTCAAGGGCCATTCCTTTTCCTCCAGTTCCTCAGACTCAGTCAATGGGCGTTCACTGTAGGGACCCTCCTTGAGGAGCAGGCAGGACTGAACCAGTGGGACTTGCTTTGTGAAGCAGACTTCCTCCTTGGCTGTCTCTGTACCCTTTCAGCCCCAGCCTGTGGTCCCTTCCCCAGTCCTACCCCATTATGGTCATTCCTACCCTGCCTGTGGTTCCTCTCCCCCCAACCCTGGCATGCCCACCCTGTCTGTGTTTCCTCCCCACCACCCTGGTCATGTCCACTCTGCCTGTGGTCTTCCCTCCCCCCATCACACCCACCCTTGGAAGCTGAAGCATATTTTTGTATGACATGAACTTAATACACTTATGCTGATTGAAAACAGTTCTTTCCTGCAGGCTAAGAAGGCTCTATCAAAAAGTGCTCCCCCAGCCCTCCGCCCCAGATGGGTGACAGGGTGACCCATGCAGAGGTGGCAGACAGGGGCAGACCATAGCCTCCCCAGGGTTGGCAGTGGCCAGACCAGCTCACCACATCATGTCTTTTCTGGCTTTGTGGGCCATGCTGCATATCTCGGGAAGGACAGCATTTTGGGGACATCTTTGCCGAGTCTTTTCTGGTGGACAGGAACCACAAGGACTTAATGTCCAGAGAAGCCAGAGCGGGAGGCCAGCCTGGACGTGGTGGGTAGGCTTTTCATGGTTCTGCTTTCTGCAAGGGCCCAGAGACCCGCTGTGATGTGTGTTTCTGCACTCGGGTCTATTTCCAAGTGTGTTTTCCTTGATTTACTTTCTCTCTTTCCAAGCTGCCTCCCCTCATCTCTTCCCTTTTGGTTTCCCATTCTCTAAACACGGCCCCACAGGATGAAATACAAGGTCAGCCTCACTTTCCCATCCAGCACTTGCTGTCCTTTTGGCTAAGATGTCACAGGTGTGCACATGTGTACACATGTGGACCCACATGCACTCCCCCTTCCCCTGCTCCTTTCCAGAGAGGAGTCCACTGCAAAGACTCAGCAGCCTTGCCAGGTTCTCTTGAAGGCCTGTCCATGAGTAGAGGTCTGCACTGTCTGGACCTGGGACATGGCGCATAGGGCCACAGGAGGCCACAGAGGCCAAGGGAACCAGGGCATGACCAGTCAAGCTGTGTGGTCTAGTGGAGGTGGGGTGCTTGCCCTGTGCCCATCCTTGTGGGGATGCAGGCTTATCCACCTGGTGACAGTCATGGACATGCTGTGTGTGAACCAAGAACTCAACTCAGTAGCACAGTCCTGGGCTGGGCTGTGGCTACCCCACAGGCTTTGGAAGGGAGTGCTTAGACTGCTTTGCATTGCTGTCATACCTGAGGCTGGGTCTCTGATACAGAAAAGAGGCTTACTTGGTTCGTGTTTCTGCAAGCTGTACAAGTGTGGTGCTTGCATCGGTGTCCTGTGAGGGTTCAGCTGCTTCCAGTATGGCAGAAGGTGGAGGGAGCTGGTGTATGGAGATCACATGGTGGAAAGAGAGACAGAGAAACAGATGGACAGAGAGAGAGAGAGAGAGCAATTATAGAGATAGAAATGGAGAGAAAGAGGGAGAGAGGGAGGGAGAAGGAAGGAGGGAAAAAGAGGAGAGCAAGAAAGACAGGCAGAGGGATAGAGGGCAAGAGAGAGAGGCAGAGACAGAGAGAGAGAAAGAGGGAGAGGGGGGAGAGAGAGAGGAAGAAGAAGAGAGAGACAGAGGGATTGAGATAGACATAGAGATAGGGATAGATAGAGACAGAGAGAGGGAGGGAGAGAGGCAGAGGAAGAGGGAGGAGGGAGGGGCCAGGCACTCTAGAATACTTATCAGATCTCATTTTTGGGTGAGCAGTGCAAGAACCTACTCATAACTAGGAGGACTGCACCAAGACATATGCCCCCATGACACAAATGGTTCCCACCAGGCCCCACTGCTAAGGCTAAGGATTAAATTTCAACATGGGATTTGGTGGAGACAAGTATCCCAACTAAATCAAGGTCCCAGGCAGGAACCTGCAGGGATCAGGTGGGCTCTCTGGGGATCACATGGAACCCAGCAGCTCAGAGGTCCAGGGCACAGACCTGGAGTTTTGGGTAGGCGGTGCAGAGAATGGAAGTCAGTCCTGATCTCAGGAGATGTGAGTGCTGTCTCAGATCACTGACTCCTACAGTTCCTAGGTGAGGGGCCTTCATTACCTAACAACCCCATCTGCTTCTCTATGACCTGGTAGAATTCAAGACCACCTGCCTCCCAGGACCTGGTGAAACCTGGGACAAGGGGGTGGGTCTGCTAGTGACGCCCCCCTGTGAGTCCTAGGAGGGCCCTTCCCCTCATGTGGTTGGGACACTTAGTTTATTAGGTACATTCACAGTGTCTGCCAAAATGTCAGCTCAAACAATCATCAATGCCTAAGGACAGATGGCTGTTCTTGAGAGGTGGAGGGAGAATGGTCACCAGGTCCAAGGTGCCCTTCACCAAGGAGGTCTCTGGATTTCTGTTGGTGGGGGCTGGGCAGGGGTGGTCATGCAGCAGGACAGGCAAGTTTTGAGAATGGACCCGTGGCTGTTTTATCCCGACCCTTAACCACGTCCCCTCTGTGAGTCTAAGAAAAACCTTACCTGAAGTTTAGAAAATGGCGAAGGGAAATTGGCAGTACTTTCAGCATCATTTTGGAACATTGATCCACAGGCTTGACAATGATTGTTGAATTATCTAGGGTGTGTACCTCTGTTTTCCTTGGTCTTTGTAATTGAAGCTCAGAGTCTAAAGTTATGGGTTAACTTGGGGATCTTTGTTCAAGAGAGGCCACTGGTGTCTGTCTGGCAGAAAACATTGCCCAGAGGCTCTGGTTTCTTTGCTTTCCAGAAACGGAACCAGTTTGCAGCTAACTTGGAGATTTCCCCCAAAGTTCTTTCTCCAAGCCCAGTAGCCAAAATCCCTCTGCCTCTCCTGAGCCAGCCCCATCTGCTGCCGCATCTCTCTTACATAGTCAAATAAGTCCAATGCTGCTTCTCCATGTGCAAGTTGCCCAGGTCTGTGACTTGCTGAAAAATCACCCTTTGCTTCCTCGTGAATCTCCCAAGGTTTCCCATGCTTCCAGTTAGTCCGATGAGATTTGGGACCCACTGCCCTCCCTGCCTCTGCCCTGTCCCTTGCTGGGTCCACGCAGGGAGACCGAGCCAGGCCTCCTTACCAGCCTGCCAGTGCTATGGAGGTGAGAGGGAGTCAAGGACACTGGTGACAGGCTGCAAAAAATCCAGTAGCCAAGAATTGCCTTTGATGGACACCCATGTCAGCTCCTGGTGTAGGAGCCTGGAAATAGGCAGAGCCACCTGGGGGTCAGCTAAGATTTCAGGGACGGTGACTCTGAGAATGTCATGGGTGGCTTCTGTACAGGAAGAAGAGTAAGTGCTTGAACTCCAACAGCTGCTGTGCACTGCCAGTTGGAACTTTCTGTTGTGATGGTAATACAATGAGTAATGTGCAGGGAGTAGCCACCATCCTGTCTTCTGGCTCCCAACTTTCCAAGGTCCCTGTGTTTGACACAGAGACATTCTGAGAGAACAGCTCAGGCAACCACTGCACCACCTGCTGACCTGGACCAGCCGGTTTCTGCTTTGCTCACTACGTTCCTGGGGGCTTTGTCGACTGACAGTGGTGGACACTTGACCACCCAGGCGAAGCTGATGCAACTTCAAGTCTGACTGTTCAAGAGGCAGGGGCTGAGCCCTGTGCCAGAGGCAAGGTGAGAGAATATTGGCCCCTGGATGTAATGGTCATGTCTGGCTGTGCAATTTCACCTTGACTTTGGTTTTGGATGAAGCCAATACCACTGGTGTAGCTATGGAAGCCACCTAAAGGCACTTGCTGCAGAATGAGTCCAGGAAACCAACAGGCTGGAGGTCACAGGGTACCCTATATTCTGAAAATAGCT